GTATGTATGTATGTATGTATGTATGTATGTATGTATGTATGTATGTAGGTGTGTAACAGTGTAGGTGTGTAGGTGTGTAGGTCTGTAGGTATGTAGGTATGTATGTATGTATGGATGTATGGATGTATGCATGTATGCATGTAAGTACGTAGGTAGGTAGGTAGGTAGGTACGTACATATGTATGGACAATCCAGCTAAGCTCTCCCTTGAGAAAGCCATTGCAAAAGGCCTTGCAAAACGCTGAACAAACAAGGCGACCAAGGCAATCAAAACCAATGAGCTGCAAGCTGCTGGCAAGAACTCATTCTGAAACCGTCTGAAACCTGAAGCTTTGCTTGGATGTCTCTCTTCTTCCAGCTCGGCAGCTATGTCACTTCGGAGCGCAACAGTCAGGAATGGTGATGTACGTAGATGTACGTAGTCATGCGGTCGATTTGTGAATTTATGTGGAATCCTCTACCAAGGAAGGTAGCTTCATCTGCAGCTCACAAGTGGCAAGTGTGCTGGCCAAAGCAAGCTCCCAAAACATGTCTTCCACCCAAAGGCGCTTACCCCATGTCCATTATCTTCAGCCATGGAAAAAAGGCGAAGAGGCTTTGAAGATGTCACCGCAATGGAAAATGAGGTGGAGTGAGTCAGGTCATCATGGGCCCCTGTTCCACATGTTGGTCGCAAACCTGGTCCAAAGACATGTCTGGAGTCTGGTTTGAACGAAAGCAAGGGTCAGAGATGGTCAGATGGTTTTAGCATGTATTAAAGCTGTCCTCTCATCCCCATCCAGAGGTGGCGGCTTCTCTTCAAGACCCCTCAGCAACTGGCAGCGGGTCATTCCAAGCCGTAGGCTGAGGGAGGGAGGATCCCTCTCCCTCTCAGAGACACCTGTCGCGTTGCGTGCACGCACACGCGCGCGAGCTTTGTGTTTATTCTGTTCAAGAGACTCTGAGGGAAACAACGCAAACTAGCATGAGATCTGAGAATTCATCCATAGAAAACAATCTACAACACAGTGGTTTTGGGGTTCCATGTTAGGGGAGTATACCCTATGGACAAAGGATCCCTTCAAGCATATTAATACACATATATATATAGTTATAGATATTTAAAATATTTATCAATAGAAACTGCTAGAATCTTTAAAAACTGTCTGGGTTCAACAAACCATCATACCGGGTTAAGGATAACCCTACTGGATACGGAACAAGTCGAACTCAAAAACTGAAGTTTTAAAAAGGAAGGATCCTGAAACGAAGACAATCCTGTAGCATACTACAAACTTCTATATATCTCAGCAAACACAATCCACCCTCCAAGCCAAGTGTGCTGCGTGCAGGGCTGCAGGGCCAGCATCAGTGCAAAGAACTATCAGAGATCCTGAAAACATCCTGAAAACAAAGACACAAAATGGAGACTCCCTACCTATACTGCCTGCACTTCACACCCCTCCACCTGGCAGCTAAGCTAAGCTAGGCCCAGCTAGGCTTGGCAATTCGCACCCCTCCAAACTCATCCGAAAAATGCTCAATAACCTTCTCAGAGGCCACGGTCAAACAGTACCTTCTCAAACAAACTCCGCAAGCATCTTGTCATACTGCATGTCGCTTCCACTGTGGTCAGTGGAAGTACAGGACAAACAAAAGCAGGGATCACCCATGGCATTTCCCAGATCATCCATGTATGAAACAGTTGCATTATGACCCCCACTGCATGGTCTGGGTTAGGTCACGCCCTCCCCCCATCCGCCACCAAACCACCAATCACCCGAACCTCCATGGGCGCTTCTAAGAGCCGTCGACGGGAGTCGTCCTCGTCGTCGTCAAGGTTGCAGTTCATCACCGCCGTGTCCACGTTCTTCGCTGCGTGCAGAAGCGCCGAGACGAAGCGCACGGCTAAGTAGGCGCCTTGGACCGGACCGCTAGGGAAGGGCGGCTTGGAGCCGTCTGAGGGCACGGCGTCTAGGGACACGCAGGTGCCGCAAGTGGCCCAAGTTTGGACGCATAACGCAAGGCCATCTCCAGCGTCATCCAGCCACACCCCACAGAAACTGCCACAGCAACATTTGGGATGACACCCTAAAAGCATTGAGCCAAGCAGTGAAACAAAAAACTGTGCAAACACAAAGGGGGTCCAAGAAAATTCGAGACATACCCAGCATGATCTTCCCAGGTGCCCGAGTTTCGTTCGGAGGTGGTTGAGCTGTGCCCGGGCCCGGGTGACCCGAACGATGGGACTCAAAGCCCTGCTGCTCCCATGAGCACCACAGGGACACCGTCCGGACAGGGGCCCGTGCGGACCCGAAGAGGTATGGGATGGGCTGAAGTCTGCGGCATCATGGATCATCATGGTGCATGATTGGTCAAGTCTTTCCCTTGATCGATGCATCTCAATGCCCTCCAGTAATTACAAAAGAATCCAAGAAGTGCTGGAATGTCACCAGGTTGACAGTCACCGATTTGTCTGCCTTGCAGTGAGGGATGAGCTGTGAAGGACGCTGACCCGCGCAGCAAATCATCTCCCGCTGACCCACCCGCCCCGTACCGATCATGGGGGGTGGTCCGCTCATGTCAGGTCATCCTTCACTGGAAGGCCACTCCACTTGCCTCCACAAGCCGCGGTTTCATTGCCATCGATGTTTTTGGACGTACACTCCCAAGATCTCCCGCTTGGGACGTTGGATGGCGGAATGATTCGTGAAGCCCATCTTGACCCACACATGGGAGCTGCCACAGCTGCTTTCATCCCAAGGTATATACCCTGACTTTCCATTTCGACTCATTTTACCCTACCTGGCAGTCATGATCCAACACTACCCCAGGAGCAAAATAAGTTATTTGGACTCTCTATATCGAGTGCCCTGGAGCATCCCCGCCTCATGTTTTGAAGCTTTGAGATGGGAGGTGTTTGCCATCTCCCAAGATCAGTCCTCTCGATATCATCCAAGGGCACAACATCACCACCCTTCAAAACCCCTCAGTTCGTACGTCAAAAGTGCAACAATCTCTATACATGATATAGCCTATGGCTATGTGCAGATCGATGAAGTCTTCTGTGGGTTGAAAAGCCACCCCATTCTGCCCAGATACAAAGCACATCATCGAAGCAAGTGATCTCCTTAGTGTCAAATCCATGATTGTTTTTAATAATGAAGACATCAAAGGTGTGGTGATCATGACCCAACAAATATCACTCACTTCCTTCCGTCTTTGACATCTCATTACAGTTATATATATATATGTATAGACTTCCCAACTTTGAGGGTTCTTGGATCATCTAACATCGCGAATTCCAACACTTGAAGGACAAAACTGCCTGGGTTTTCACCACGTGACCCACGCGCTAAACCGCTCCGAAACCGCTCCGAAACGTCGAAACCTGGTGCTCCGCCGACGCGGCGCGAAACGTGGCGCGAGACGTGACCGAAACGACGTGACGGACAACGCCGGCCGTGACCGCGAACGGAGCGGCCGAAACGGCGGAGTCCGGTCCGACCGCTCCGACGGCGTCTCGCTTCAAGGAGCGGTGGACTCACCGTTCACAGAGCGGAGGAACAGAGGAGCTATCTGTGAAAGGGGGGGAAAACAATGGAAAAAAACATAGAAACTGCAACTCAAAGAACGACCACAACGACCTGTTCGTTGTGTCATGTGCCACCGAGAGGCCATGATCATCGTCAGCTGCACCGCCGCGATGATGCCGCTGATGGCGCCGGCGATGGTCTGCGAGCACACCTGGGCGCACGATGGATGCGAGCACGCGTGAAAGTCCAATGTTGGTTACAACAAGAGAATTGGTTCAACAATGGACACAAGTAAAACACATGAAGAACCACACTGTCGCACCAAGCGGTTGACCTGTCTCACTTGCGCAGTCAGTGATGGTGTTTCTTTACTGTCTCGCTGTATGAAATTTAACACCTTCCCAATTCAAAACATTGTCATTTAACTTGTTATAGTGGAACATCTCTTCTGGATGATTGTTACTGATTTTATCAAAGACTATACATTCAATACAGTATTTGAAACATTTTTGGTCTTTATTTTTTATGTTGATACACGCCTTTTTAAGTTTAATCCATTCTGGTAGTTCTATATACCTCCCCGCTCTTGTAGGGTCATACTTATCAAAATGAATGGTTATTGAAACAATCCTTTTAAATACTAAATTGGACTGTGTGCCTTCTAAATCTTGAATTTTCAATAAGATTTGTTGAACACTATTTTCTAATGCTTGGTTTAACTCATCCTCATTATGAACATTGTAGCGTGTTGCTGGTAATTGATAAAGGTGTTCGCTTGTAGCAATTCTATTTCCTCCATCATCATATTCAGGTTTTTCAAATAAACCTTCCGTTCTGATGTTAAGTTTCATATTTCTATTATTGTTTTAAAGAAGTCTCTTAATCGTGATTTTTGATGAGCACTCCTTTCCAATCCTCGCTCACCTTGAAAGTGCTTATTTTCAAGTTTTATGGAATTGGCATAGTTTCTAAATGCTGACTGGACATCATTTACTCTGAATGTATTTCTTATTGCCCTTCTGGTTAGTAATACTTTTGCTCGTCCAAGGGTGTAAGCATCTTTTGCTTTGTTTAAGGCATAACTCCTATACTCGTTTGTATTTCTGATTGATTTAAGTTCTTTATTTAAAACAGTTGATATTTATGTTGCTGTATTGTATCTAAATTTTCTACCATCTATGATTATTTGCTTTAACTATGTTCTTCCTCTCTTAGGTATTTCTGCTAAACCATTATTTAATAGATAATATAATAATATATAAATTGTTTCATCATATAATACTCTATATGTTTTATTAAGTCATTTAATCTTTAAGTAGTTTTATGTGAATTATATGTTTTGTTCTTAGAATTTGTCTTTATTATAGTCTATTGTTTTGCTTTTTTTATGAGAAGTGTTTTATGTTGGTTATGTGAAAAAAAATATTTAAAAGAAAAAGATTGTTATATGATGAGAAATGATGGAAGAGCAATATTGTAAGAAATGTAAAGAGACTAAAAGCATCAATGAATTTTATGAAGGTAATATATGTTGTAAAACATGTATAGACTACAACAAAAGTTATCATTACAATAACAAAAATAAATACAATGAAGCGCAAAGAAAAATATATGAAGAAGATGAAGAATATAGAAAAAAAACTGGAACAACAACACAATTTTAATCTAAAACCATTACCTGTTCTGTTTGTAATTGTTCAATGAGGCAACACTATTTCTCAAGACATATTAAAACAAATAAGCATCAAAGGAATTTAAATAATGGTTTGCTGTGATGTGAAAATGAATGAGGTGATGATATGGTTTGCTGTGATGATTTTGTGAAAATGCATGAGGTAATGATATGGTTGGTAGTGATGATTTTGATATGGTTGATGGTAAAATGAAACAATCAACCATATTAAAAATATGTTTTTAGTCTGTTTCATTTTATTTTCAACAACTTATTTGAATTGTTGTTTTTATAATTTTTTGGGGGAGGGGGGAGGACACCCCGTGTCCACAGCTCAACGGAAGAACGTGCTCTGGTTAATTTTGTGTTTTTACGTCCAACTGCGACACAGTGTCACTGAACAAGTTTACAAGTCCAGTCCCCGACCCAGTACCACCTGGTCCTTTATCTGATTGAGTAGTGATTTCTTTGCATGATCAACATCCACTAAAACGAGGTCCAACTGATCTGTAGGCCTGGAGGAGTTGTCGAGCATATGTCCCACCAGGTCCCACGGTCACCTCTTTCGGTGCCAAGTCTTTCGGTGCCAGTCACGTGGATCTTCGGACTGAACCAGGTCACACTCACACCCTTAATAAGACCTGAAGGCGAAACTTATAGTTCCCTGTTCCCACATATTATATATATTTTATATAATATTGGGATTTATATACAGTAACTGCATCATATTGCATCCTAATTCATGCCACTAAGCCACCAGAAATCACCAGAATGACTACTTTGCATTCCATGTTCCTCAAAAGTTCCAGCCCAATGCCCTCCCAGCGGCCGCTTGGATGTTGCCACAGTTGAAGACCGTGCTCGAGAGATACACTGCCTCGGTGTATCGGCCTTTTCTTGTGGAAAGAATGCACAATCTGGCATGAGGTGTATCTGCCCGTTTCTATTATAATCAGCCAAGTGCCTGCTTGAGAAACATAACTGCAGTTGGTAATTCTTGTGCCTGTGCAGTTGGTTTCTGATGTTTGTTGTCTTGTTTTACCATAGGCATAACCAGGCAGTGATGAGGATGAGGATGACCCACCCTGTTCCAGGCAGGTCATGTTTATGGTCAACTCCAGGATCCAAATAAGTTGCCACCAGCGCCAAGTGTGTTCATCTGCATGCAAAATGCCCTACAGTGGAAAGGGAACATAGATTTTGTATTCGGACATCCAGAGTCCAAAGATGTCCAAAGGATAATACCCTTTTGGCTCCTTTTTGTAACCCACCAAAATCGAGTGAGTCTCAATCTAAAAAATCATAAACAAACACCTAATGACCCAATGACCTATGGAGGTTACACCTCAACTCCTTGAGGTTTACAAAAAAAAAGAACAAACTTCCCCATCACTTCCCCATGTCCTGGCACGTCCACGAAACACTTATTGCCAAAACAGAACGACTTCGAAGGTTCCTGCAAGCCGCCAAGGTGGCGAAGGATTTGACGATGCCCGTGGCGTAGTTGGCGCAAATCGTGGAGACTTCCTCCGTCGTGGAGACTTTCGGCGCCGTGGGCGGAGGCGGAACAATGTGTGGCGCGTCGTGCGCGGGGCAGAGAACGAGCAAAGCACCGGCGGGGGGCGAGTGGGCAAGCCCCTTCTAGCAAGCTTATGCAGCAGCTACTTGCCAAGTATGTACAATGAACTCCCGGGAACAGTACTCTTGATGAAAAGCATCTGACACCATCCTACACCATGTGGAACCACCAAAGCATGCTCAAATACAGTAATTCTGTGGTTTCTTTATCTCAGGCAGGACTTCTTCAACATATGGGGGTTGTTCAAAAGTCCTTTCATTTTTTTCCAGGCCTTTCGCAGGACCTTCGCGAAGCTTTCGCAAACTTTCGCGCGTGGGGTTTTACCACTGTCGGCGAAAATGGTTTTTCGTTGGGGCTAGAGGCTTTCAAGGATTCATGCAGTTGCCCTGGCACGTCTTGTGTCCTCTGATCACTGACACATTGATTGCTGAGGAACAGGAAGCCAGCCAACCAAGCAGTTTTCATGTTGGTGTGTTTTTGGTTGGGCACAACCCTCCATGAACAAGAGACGGCTCAGTCAGGCCAGTTTGCTCAGACTTCCAATTTGCTTTTTCCCGGGCCGGGAAAAAGCAAAATGGTTCAGACTTCGAATTTGCTTTTCCGGGGCCGGGAAATAGCAAAATGGTTCAGACTTCGAATTTGCTTTTTCCCAACCCGGGAAAAAGCAAAATGGTTCAGACTTCCAATTTGCTTTTTCCCGGACGGCCAGACTTCCAATTTGCTTTTTCCCGGCCCGGGAAAAAGCAAAATGGTTCAGACTTCCAATTTGCTTT